TTTTTTTGCTCTTGCTATCTCTCTCTCCCCTTCCAGCCTCCAAATAAATAAATAAATAATAGACGTTTAAAAATTAAAGACACAACAACAAGTGCTGCAGGTGAAGAATCTGCATCTCTTTCTTAAACAACACTACAGGAAATATAAAATGATACCGCCACTTTAGAAAACAGTTTGTCACTTCCTCAAAATGCTAAACATAGTTACCATGTGACCTGGCATTTCCATTCTTGGATATACAGATGCTCCTGGACTAACACTGGTCTCGCATCCAATAAACCCAAGAGAAGCAGCAAACACTGACATCTCCTACAAATCACTCGCTGAATATCACAGCTTGGCAACGCAGCGCACTGGAAGGAGGGGTGCCTCCCCTCCTGGTCTTGGGACTGAGAGCTGTGGCTTGTTGCTGTTGTGCAACATGAGAAAGTATTGTATCAAATATCACTAGCCTGGGAAAAGAATCAAAATTCAAAATCCAATGTACCACCCCTACTGAACATGTATCACTTTCACACCATTATAAAGTCAACAATTTCATAAGGGAAGCTGTCATAAATTGAGGACCACCTATATACCCCAGAGAATGAAAAACAAACATCTTCACAATCACTAGTAGATAAAAGATACCGCACCTGGCTCACAACAGCCAGAGTGAAAACCCCAAATACCCACCAGTGGAGGAACAGATATATAACATGTGGTCTGTTTATACAAGGGAATATTACTGGGCCACAAAAAGGAATTTCAACAGGGATGAACACCAAAAACAGTAAGCTGGGTGAAGGAAGCTGGACACAAAGACCACACCTGGTGAGTTCTTATGCATTCATCTCCAGAACAGACAACTCCACAGAGACAGACAATAGCTCAGGAGTAGGCAGGAGCTGAACATGGAATGACTGCTAATAGGTACAGGTTCTTTCTGATCTAATGAAAATGTTCTGAAATGAGATAATGGAGATGGTCGTACGACTTTGTGGATATATTAAAAGGCACTGAACTGTACAGCTGCATAAATTTTCCAATGCTGGGGGTGGGGAGAAGAGCAAGTCTAGATCTGTGACACAGAAATGTCCACCGTATTGTCTGTAAGAGGCTAACCAATGCTCGGAGACAAAGCCCTTCACAGCAGAGATGGCCTCTCCTGCATTTCCCTAAACATCCAGGTAATGCTAGGTTACACTAAGAAACTACTGAATAAAGGTTTGCTTAAAAAATATATATTCACACGCTGCACATCAGGGATGAAGAGAAAAGTGTGCTGGCCAGCTCGCTTTTTGTCCTATGGAATCCTGAATTGCCATCTCTCTTTTTCACTCCCCAAGAGACTGCAACGGTCAGGGCTAAGCCGATCCAAAGCCAGGAGCCAGGAACTTCCTCTGGGTCTCCCACACGGGTGAAGACCGAAGGCTTTGGGCCATCCTTGACTGCTTTCCCAGGCCACAAGCAGGGAGCTGGATGAGAAGTGGAGCTGTTTGGATTAGAACCAGCACCCATATGGGATCCTGGTGTGCGCAAGGTGAGGACTTTGGCTGCTAGGCCACCGCACCAGGCCCTGCCATCTCTCTTGATCTCATCTTCATTCTTTCCATTTATACATTCTTCATAGGACCCACTTCTAGCTTATGTGACAGTTTCAAAACAGTTCAAATTCTCCACTGAGGTCTGTGAGGAAACACCATTCACTGGCCTCTCAACATGTTTTCCTGCCTCTTCAACCACACTCCTAAGACAGAAACGGCACAGGTTGAACTTTTGTTGTCCTCACATCCCCAAACACCAAAAGACTATCATCATCATATTCATGTGGCAATTGGTGGGGAGTGGGATGTCGGGGGGATGTTCCGTCTAAGTTGATCTGGTCTCCCAAGTTCAAAGTCCATTTTTCCTCACAAACATCATTTATTTTCAAACTGTGAATAACTGGAGAACTTCTCAGTTAAGCTTAAAAAGAATAAATAAAAAGACATGAAGACAAAGGCTCATAAAACAACAATAACTCTAACAAGCGGGGGGGGGGGGGAGAAACTGGGGCAAAAAAAAAACAACAAAAAGGGCTTGTTCAGAACAAGAAGGGGTAAAACAAAGGGCCCAGTGCTTAGGGGAGATGATGTTATAGCAAGAGATGACAAGAACAAGGCAGATTCATCCAGCTCCTTATTCGCCACTGCAGAGCCTGTCCTTCAGTGCAGGAATAGTGCTACCTTAAAATAAGAGGACAGGACAGTGCACAACAGTAACACAACAAGAGAATTCAAACTGGCTTCGTGATCCAAAGTAAACTCTCCATGATACTGGAAAAACTTCACATCTGACTTTAAAAACTACTGCTGATGAACCAAGCGATCAGGGCAAAGAGCCAGAAAGCCAGAAATAAAGAACACACACAGAATTTTCCAAACAGAATACAGGGAAATCAAAAACTTTTTTTTTTAATCTATGAGCAAGCCATCCACATACCAGCTGAAAATTCCACAAGGACCCAATAAATTTTTACAGTAAATTAATACATTAATGCAGTAAAAAAGAGGAAAGCCAGCAAGAGTTGCACATCAAGAAAGGCTACACAACAGCTTTTGGATCAGATTACTAACCGGGAAAAACGGGGAACGGCACAGACAGACACTCCTGATCCTCACTAGATGGACTGACAGATCTTTAAAATGATGGGCTAGTGAACAAAAGGAGAGAACAGTGAAGAGCAGAAGCTTGAAAAATCTGTTAAACTCCATATCTCTTCACCACAATCAGGCTCGTTCATAGCAAGATCAACATCTGGTTGACTAACACACCAACATCACCCAACTTGGGGAGTCTCCAGTAAAATATCACAAAGCTCCATCCTTTTCTGCTGTCTAAACAACTACCATTAATTTAATAGAGCCACAAACCTGATATTCCCATTTGCAAGTGTTACAAAGCTATGAGTGACCCAACACACACAGCCGGACAAATTCAGGCTCCAGAAAAGTCACAGTGGACGGACAGGATAGTCCTAATCCAACAGTGAAAAACAAACAGGGGTCAGCACCCTCTTTCAGATTAAACCTCACACATAGGAGGGAACTTCAAAAAAGTTGGTAGACTCATGAATTACAACATGGGTTTTTTTTTATGCAAAAAGTATCTGAAATTCCTGCACATTGCCAAGGAAGTTTTTGCATTTCAATCCTCCATTTCCTTTGTGAAAATGTGTACAATGCACCACACATAACAACACCCATCAGCACACTGTATATTTCACTAAGAACAAATCAGCTTAGCAAGAACGCACAATCACAGCATGTTGGTAGCTAAAATGTTTTGATGATGTGATCTCTCACAGGTTGGTTAAACAATATTTGCTACAGAAAATACAAATGGTTTTCAGTCTTAAAGATTACATATTAAAGCATTATCTCATATTAATGGAAAAGCTTTCAATGGACATGCCATTGTTAACTATATTCAAAACCCCTCTCACATAAAACATACCATGTTAAAACTTTAAAATGTTAGGCTTTCAATCCCGGAGGGTCAAAGGTTCCACCCAGGTGCCAGTGCCCAGGCCACCCTCCCACTCCTTCCAGAGTCTCCACAAACAATGCCCCTTTAAGAGCTCAAAGGCAGAAAAAGGCTGTCCCCCAGGCGGGCGGGCTGAGGCCAGAGGCTCCATCTCAACCCTCCCATTCTCCTCCCCACTCACCCTCAAGACAAGTGGAGGTCTGCAACTGACTGACAAGAGGGCAAGTTAGCAAGACAGAGGTCACCAGCATCTGTCCAGCCAGTGCCAGGAGGACCCACCCGCCCGCCCCAGTGGGTACCTCTCTGAACCCCAAGGCCAGAATCCTGGGGCTCCCCTGGGACCCTTTCAGGCAGGAGGAAACTTTACAGCTGGGTACCCGACCCCCTCCCCCGCCCCCCAGTACCATCCACCCCAGCAAGCTCTTTGTTTCCAACCGCAGTGGGGGGCGGGGACGGGGCAGCCAGAGGGGAGAGGTCACTCCCTTGCTCCCTTTGCTGCCAATCTCCAGGTCCTGCCACACACACACACACACACACACACACACACACACACCACAATTTAGCTCCTCCAGAACCAGTTTTCTCTGCAGTTCAGGCTTGCACCTTGACACACAGCGGCTTTCCCTGAGACCTAATTCCCTCGTTTTATGCCCAAACACTATCCCTTCCTCTACCAAATGGGGTTCATTCTGGGATACCATCCTCCCTCCTCCTCCTTGGATACCCCAGGCTTCAGTCACACATAACACACAAAAAGATCCTGGCATATTTCACCTGCCCGTATCCACTGACCCCAGGTCACTCCAGGCTCCCCACATCCCACCTCGGAACCCAAGGGATACACCCGTGCGCGTGCGCGCGCGTGTACACACACACACACACACACACACACACACACACACACACACACACACACACACTCTCATCTCTCTCTCTCTCTCTACCCGTGGTCCTCAGGGCCACCCGTTCCATTTACCCACCCAACCACTCGGAGACCCCCCGACGTCCTACGGAAGAACCTCCCTCAGTACACGGCCACGCTCTGACCATCAACCCGAGCTCCTCAGCCCCTCATCACCATCTCCCACCCACAGCACTCCCCACAAACACACGGAGATCCCCGTCCTCACACCCCGCCCCCCGACCCCACCACCACCACCGAGCCCTAACACAAACAGGCGCTCCCGCCAGCGCACCCCACTGGGAGCCGGGGCCGGCAGCTCCGCCTCACCGGCTCCCGGCCTCACCTCCTCAGTAACGCGCGGGGCCAGCCACTCGACACACGCGGACGCACGCACGGCCGCTCCCCGTCCCCAACGCCGCTTGCCAAGCCCCGCGCGGCCCGCTCGCGCCCTGCCCTCCGCCTTCGCTCACCCTCGGGCCCCACTCCCCGGGACTCCCATGCCGGGAGCTTTCCCAGCCGCTCCGCCCGAGCCCGGACTCGGGCAGCGGCGGAGGGAGGAGCCCCAGGGGCGGGCTCCGGCCGGTCTTACCTGAGCAGTTGATGCTCTTGCCTTTGCCGCCGGGACAGTCCCCGCCGCTGCCGCCGCCACCGCCGCCGCTGCTACCCGGGGGCTGGTTGGACGCGCGGCTCCCGGGCAGAGAGAAGGCGAAGAGCAGCAGCACCGACGTGTAGCAGCAGAAGGCGAGTGGGGGCGCGGCAGGCAGCCGGAGCGGCGCCTCAGCGGTCGCGGCGCCCATGACTGGCGCCCCTGGACGGCGGGAAGTGCAGGGAGCCGCAGGCCCGGGGCATCCAGCCACGCGCCGAGAGCCCCGCCGCTCCCCGGGCGCCTCCGAGCAGCCGCGCCGCTGCTCCCGTCAGGAAGAACCCTTCAGCATCCCCCGCCCCACCCGCAGCACCAGCCAGGCCCCCCGGCTCGCCGCGCTCGGGACGAAGTCGGTGGGGTCCGGGCGCGTGCGACGTTCGCGGGAGCGCGAGGGGTGCGCGCGAGGGTGCGAGCCCGCGTGGGGGAGATCGGGGCGAGGGGAGCGAGGGGAGCGAGCGAGCACGCGCGCGCGGTGGGCGGGGGTCGCGGGGCGGGGACAGGCCCAGCCCCTCGTTCGCCTCCTCGCCTTTCCCTTTGTGTCCGCGGTCGTCTCCGCCGCCGCCGCGTCACAAAGACCCCGGCCCGCCTGGCGAGGGGGCGCGTGACGGAGCCGCGGGCGGGCGGGAGGGCTGCCCGCGACCCCGCCCCGCGCACACCCCGGGCGCCCGCGCCCACAGCCCCGTCCCCGCCCGCCGCCCGCGCCGCCTCCGGGGGAGCTATTGTTCCTGCGGCGGGGCGGGAGCGCGGGCCGGGGGTCGCGGCCGCCCCTCGCTCCCGCAGCCCCGGACCGCGCGGCGCCGAGGACGCTCCGGGTGCGTTCTGGCCACAGACGTTTTTTGCCGCCCTTTGTCAGCCAGGTTGATCTGTTTTCCTCCGCTCAGCAGCCGGACTGGGGAAAGAGGAGCAGGTGGTCTAGGTGAGCTATCCGTTTTCTAGGTGAACAAACTGAGCCGCGGAAGCAGTAGAGGTGACACTTGCCCAAGGTCACGTACGGGAAAACAAAACAAAACAAAAAAGACGGGCTGGACCACGGTTGGAACTAGAGTTCTATCAGTCCATCTGTGCCGGATCCTTTTGGGATGAATGACTGTATTGCCAGGACCTCGCCCCCTGTTCCCCGGGGTACTCCACACACGTAAACCGAATTTTGAAATACTGTTTTTTGTTTGTTTGTTTTTAACAGTCTATATTGTATTGCCCTCTCTAATAAAAGCTGAGATGCAGAAAGGGTTGCTTTTTGCCGATTCTTTTTTACTGCCATCCATGGAGTTTTCCTCTTAACCTCCATTCGATAAATGAGGACATTGGGATCCCTGAGAAGAAAAATGAGCTGACTCTCAGACATCCCCCAGCACAGGCTAGAAGATCATCGTCTTCTACCGATTTCGCTTTTATTACTGCCTGCCACCTCAGAAGGAATTTTAACATTGCATTGAAAAACTGACCAATTTGACTCATCAAATTAAGACATGTATGATAGGCTACCACCAGCAAAGCCAAAACTGGGAGGGGGGTAGTCTTCGATGCATATATGAGGCAATAATATAAAGAGATAATATATGTCAGGAAGAAGTTGCCCAGAATAATGGAAAGCTGACAGGGCTTAATTCACAAGTACAATAAATGCTCAGACAGACTTAAACCCGTTAGCAATAAAACTAAGATAAAACATAAAATTTTTCCTCTCTTTGGATGATCAATAAGAATTAAAAGGAGTGACCAAACCTGGCACTATGCATCTATGCATTTTAGGAGGTGACTGGATTAGGTGTCAAGATCTTGAAATATATTGGCTCTTTAGCAGTTCCACTTACTGGAATTTATTTTAAAGAAATAATTGGACAAGCATACAAAGATGTATGGAGAGAGAGGAGAGATTTGTCACAGCCTTCTTTTAATAAGGCAGAGCCTACATGCCTATCAGTGGGAACTAGTTAAAGGATGACAGGTACCGTGGAGTATCATGCCTCTTTGACAGTGATGACAGGTCACTGACTTGGCAAAAAGCAGGGCACTGATGAGTATATGTCGCTGTCCCGCAGCGATGGACTTGGTGCACGGAGCAGATAATAACACACGTGGACCCTGACTGACGGTCCAAGCCGAAGTTTATTAGGGGCACCAGACTTTATACACTGAGAGTCCATACTGTTTCCCTACTCTCGATTGGAATTCCTTTTGTTTTGTATATTCCACCAGGTGTTCTCATTTACATGAAAGGTAGCCATTTGGTTATTGTCATGCAAATACTGTCCAATAAACTGCAAACCTGTGCTTGCTGACCTTCCAGGGTCACAATGTCCTCCTACAAGTATATATATGAGAGAATCCCATTTTTGTAAAATCCACATGTATATACAACCATAGGAAAAAAAAAACATGCAGTAATATATCATCTCTGGAAAGGTGGGTTCCTAAGTTAATAGGTATTTGTCCTTTGTATTTTTCAGTACAGTCTACATTTTCAGTGAAACCTTTTAACTTAAAAATTTTTTAATTATCTTTATTGGAAAGGCAGACACACAGAGAGGAGGAGAGACAAAGAGGAAGATCTTCCGTCCATTGATTCACTCCAGAGGCAGCCACAATGGCCAGAGATGAGCAGATCTGAAGCCAAGAGCCAGGAGCCTCCTCCAGGTCTCCCATGCTGGTGCAGAGGTTCCAAGGCTTTGGGTGGTCTTCTGAGTCTCCCACGCAGGTACAGGGTCCCAAGGCTATGTTCCGTCCTCCACTGCTTTCCCAGGCCACAAGCAGAGAGTTGGATGAGAAGCAGGGCCGCAGGGACACAAACCTGCACCTATGTGGGGTCCCAGCACGTGTAAGGCAAGGACTTTTGCCACTATGCTACCATGCCGGGGCCTTAACTTAAAATTTTTTAAAGCTAGTTCCTTTCAAGTTAGACTTTCTGCATGCTTCTCATCTAAATAAATTTGCATATTTCCAATGTTGAGATTTGCTTTAAACTGTTAGCAGTGGCATGCGGTTGTTAACTATAACTAAACTACTCACTTTGCTTGATCAGGTGTGATCCCCTCCTCGGCAGCTCCTTCCAGGCCGCTTTCTCAGTAGTGTTTCTGCTAAGCTTGACCCCGCTCATGTTTTTCACCTGATCTTCTTCTCTAGGTAACTCAGGTGCACATCCAAGCTTGGAAATCGGTGACTTGATCAGTCAGCCATCACCAGGACATCTCAGCACACTCATCATTTGTTAGGAGTTGGATCATCTAGGACAGACTTGGCAGTATGGCTCTGCTTCGAGCTGCAGGTGCAGCTCAACTTGACTTCTATGTATAGGTTAAGCTCTGTTCCACTCCACCAGTAGATATCTTGCAACCCTGAGTGAAGGGGCAGCAGTTACCCAGGAGGAAGTCTTCTCACAGCTGTGATGCACAGGGGCACGCTGTACAAAAGGGAAAATGCCTAACAATAGCCACAGGCTAAAGCCAGTGCGATAGCTGACCCACCAACAGTGAACAGGTAGTGAAAGCTGTTCTTACACAGGTTAAATTTATCTTATGATTATTTCTTCTTCAGATTTATTTTATTATTATTGGAAAGTCAGATATACAGAGAGGAGGAGAGACAGAGAAGATCTTCTGTCCACTGATTCACTCCCCAAGTGGCTGCAACATCCGGAGCTGTTTCAATCCGAAGCCAGGAGCCAGGAACTTCTGGGTCTCCCACGTGGGTGCAGGGTCCCAAGGTTTTGTTCTGTCCTCCACTGCTTTCTCGGGGCACAAGCAGGGAGCTGGGTGGGAAGTGAGGCCATATGGGATCCCAGTGTGTGGAAAATGAAGACTTTAGCCACTAGGCTGCCACACGGGACCTCTATCATTTTTTCATCTTATTGGAAAGCAGAGAGATACTTCCATCTGCTGGTTACTGTCCACGTGCTTGCAATAGCAAAGGCTGGAGGAAGCAAGTGTCAGGAGCACAGAATTCCATTTAGGTCTCCCACTTGGTTGGCAGTGACCCAAGCAAATCATCTGCTGCCTTCCAGAAAACACCAGCAGGAAGCTGGGTCAGACGCAGAAGAAGCAGAAGAAGACATGACCCAACACTGCAATACACAAGACAGGTGTCTCAGGCAGTGACCCAGGCGCAGCGCCACAATGCCCGCCTCAGGAACAGATGTTTTGAACATCAATCTATCTTGAGATTCTATACTTGAACATTACCAGTTGCGCTCTATCAGAATGTTTTCAGTTCTAAATAACAGATATACCAAAATAAGTTGCAGAGGGACCATCTCTCTCTTCCCACGGACACCAGCCTCTCTCTCTGCCCATGGAGAACCGAATAGAAGGCAGAAACATTTTCTTCTTTCCCACCTTTCCTCTCCTGACCTACTCCACCCTAAACATGCCCCAAGTGTATCTGTAATTTCACCTTTTAAATAAACTTTAAAAGAAAAGAGAGAATGAATGCCAAACCAAATTAAACAAAAATGGATTACCTGGCTCAGGTTTAAAAAAACTATAGAAGCCAGAAGTGGGGCTCTCTCCTGAGAGTTGATTACTGTTCACACCTGGAAAATAGCGCTGTCCATCCTGTAAGAAAGTTTTAGGAGCCTTTGCTGCATGCCAGGCCCTCCAGTCACCTCCAAGGGCAAGAGATAATCTTGCCCCCGCTGTGCAGAATAGTGGGGAACCATCTAACACCAACGATTACAGCTCAGTGTGACAAATACTAAATACAAGTGGAACAAGGGTTGGGAGATTTAAGTAGCAAATTCCCAGCTCTGCCAAAATCATGGCTACCCCAGGTCTCCTTGCTGGAGAGTCTTGCTGCATAATGAAGTCCTGATAACACAGTAATGAGACACTTTGGGACAGACAAATTGGTCCTCCTAAGGAGCAGGTCACGGTGCTTGGACCAAAACTGGGGAGATGAAATGATGGATGGGTCAGCCCTGGCACAAGGATTGGCCACTCTTCCAATTTAAGAAGCTGGACACCACTTCCTAAAGAGAGAGGGAGTGTTTTAAATAATAGTGAATGGATAAAGACATTCATTTAATCAGCACATTTGTACAAAAGGTCTACTCCTTGTGGAACATAGTAGTGAATTACAATAGCCTAGGTCCCTGCCCTTATGAAGTTCACAGTCAAATAATATTTATCAGTTATACAAATAAAAGCAAAGTTGCAACATTGTTACCAAATGCTGTGAAGAAGGGCAGAAAGGTTGCCCTGAAGGGATTGATGCTTATAATAAGACCAGAAGGAGAGTAGAATTAGCCAGGTGAAGGAGGAGTGTGCCCTGCAGAGGAACTGTCCTGGGAAAACAGCCTGTGAGGGAGACGGTCCCAATACCAGCCAACGTTGTAAGGATCTGCAAGAATAAACTCATTGGGAACTTCATTCATGGACTGTACCAACACTCACTGAGCACCTACTTTGATGGACGCATTGCTCTCGATGGAGGGAAATATCCCCAAGCAAAACAAAGTCCCCAGTGCTCACAGAGCTTACAGTCTAGGTAGAGGGCTCCAATAGTAATAATGGTTTGGGGCAGACATGTGGCACAGCAGTGAAATCACCAGTTGGAACACTTGTATTCCTTATAGGGAGCAC